GACTTTGTAGTACAACTTTAGTACGCGGAGCAATCTGTAGAGCTGGAAGCTGAGAACTGGCGGCGTTCTAGTGCAACTTTAGTACGCGGAGCAATCTGTAGAGCTGAAAGCTGAGAACTGGCGACGTTGTAGTACAACTTTAGTACGCGGAGAAAGCTGTGGAGCTGGACGCTGAGAACTGGCGACTTTGTAGTACAACTTTAGTACGCGGAGTGACTGGGGAGCTGGAGGCTGAGAACTGGCGACTATGTAGAACAACTTTAGTATGCGGAGCAACCTGCGGAGCTGGAAGCTGAGAACTGGCCATTTTGTAGTACAACTTTAGTACGCGGAGGAGTCATCTCTCGTGACTGAGTCATCTCTCGCTGCTGAGTCATCTCTCACGACTGAGTCATCTCTCGCTGCTGAGTCATCTCTCGCTGCTGGTGAGTCATCTCTCACTTATCTCTCGCTGCTGAGTCATCTCTCGCTCCTGAGTCATCTCTCCCTGCTGAGTCATCTCTCACTGCTGAGTCATCTCTCGCTGCTGAGTCATTTCCCGCTGCTGAGCCGTCTCTCGCGACTGACTCATCTGTCGCTGCCGAGTCATCTCTCGCGACTGAGTCGTCTCTCGCTGCTGAGTCATCTGTGGTTGCTGAGTCATCTCTCATTGCTGAGTCATCTCTCGCTGCCCACTCATCATACACCACTCATCATGCACCACTCAACATACACCACTCATCATACACCACTCGTCATACACCCCTCATCATACAAGACTCATCATACATCACTCACCATACACCACTCATCATAACCCAACACTGGTTACAGTTGATTGTTTTGTCAACAGGTAAGTTTGTAGCTGCCCAGTTGCTTCAGCACGCCGGTGTGGGCTGCTGATCTTGCTTTGCCATAGACGCAACCCAGTACGCTGTTGTGAGCTGCTGATCCTGCAGGAAGCACAGACCTTGCACAGGTGGCGCTGTGTTGATCAAAAGTCCGGAGCGCGTGCGTTTGACTGGGGGACGCGCGTGTTTGAGAGAACCGGAACACTCCTATAGGTCAATTCGTTCTTATAGGAAACTTCCGCCGCCGGCTTGCCCGGGAACTGACCATAGTGGTCGAAGCAGCCAGCCAATTTGGGACGGCGTACGTGGCCACCGCGGCCAAGGTTCATTGGAACCTGTCGGGACCATAGCCCCCCTGCCTCCCCTTACCCTCCCCCTCTTCCTTCTCTGCCTTCTGGGGTATTCGTGAATGTAACACTCTTTCTTCTCTTCTCGCCCTACCCCTCCGTCCCTCGCGTTTACATACAAACGGGGCCGGCTTTGCGACAGGTTTTCAATCAGGTTTGGTTTCACCGGTTTCTGTCTCCTTCATTTGGTTCCCCTTTTTTCATCATGTTTTCCCCTTCACACACTTTTTCTTCTCTTTTCTTTCATGTCTTCCCGTCTTCATGTCTCGTCATCTCATCCTTTCTTTCGTTTGTGCACACATCGGTCCTGGCCTTAGTGTGTACGTGCGCATCTACATGTACTTTAAACCCAGGTTTCAGGTGGCCCAGGCTTGATAATGAGGTGGGGTTCATGGTTTGTCCCTGTGCTGTTCACCCCACTTTTCCGTAAAGGTCTAATGCAGCCGCCGTGTCGCCTCTTGTTGACGCTGATGCTCAAACGTTTTCAATTGCGCCGACCTTTCACCTTACCGTTCCATCGAGTCAAGGGCCTTGCACCGCGGACCACCTTTTGGAGTATCGTTCGGAATGAAACTCCATCGAAGTGTGTGAAACCCTTGGAGTTACAGGGAGTCTTGGGCATTCTTGAAGTCACCGCTCTACGAAGACACTTCAAGCTTGCTGTTATATGCGTCTGGACACAGATTGCGCGTACCTGCGAGAAGATGATCGCCATTTCCTTTTGGTCCCTGCTGTTTCTAGAACAACGTACCAGCCATTGCATCGGTTTTTGAGCTCTGCAGACATCCGCTCGTGGCTTGTACTTTGATGTCATGAACCTGGACCTTGGAGCTTTTGACTTTTTGGAACATTGTACTTTGATGTCGCTAAGATGGCCAGACCGCTTTACATACCTTACTCCTGGTACTCTTAGGCGTTCATACCTAGGTGGGCGTGTGGCATGTGGCGTTCGATTTCAATACGCATTGTCTCGAGTGTGCGAGAGTCTCTGTGTGCGTGTGATTTAAGAGGCAACTTGGGACAATTTTTTGAGGCTGTTCAACCCAGCGGAAAGGGCAAGTTCAGAGACGCATCGCGTGCAGCATAGTGATCATTGTGTTGGGAAGAAACCAATGTTCCGAACAAACCCTTCTGAGAAAACACATTTGGTAGTTGATCAAAACGTCGACACAAGGTCTACAGTAGGTTCACCAAGGCCTGTTCGCACAAGTAGAGATTTATTTCGCGAAAGATCAGGGAACACTAAATGTGGAGTTCGCGAACAATTTGCAAAAGTAAAGACATTTTTCGCGAAACACTGCGTTTTCGTAAGGAATTTCTGTCAGAAAACAGTCTAAGAGAGCTATTCAGGATTAAGAACACATTCGGATCATGTTTTGTTATATCTACATATGTACACCTCGTTCACTGTAGCCGACAGTTGCCAGCAACTATGAGGAAGAAGACCAAGAAGAATGTCGAAAGTGAGGAGCCCTGTTCAAACCATTTGCTGCGTTATGAAAGAAGGAGGGTATGGAGACGATTGGATTAACTAGCTGAAGAGGCTTGCAAGCAAGAATAGTTGCACGAACTGCATGAGTGTAGGAAAAGCACCAGAGGAAAACATGTTGTGATGTGTTTTTTCACAGCCAGCAGCCAACTTCGATTCAAAGACTGCCACGGGATACCTCCCTTTTGAGGGCAAACGCGGCCTGGATTTGTGCGCGCCACCTTTGGTGATGCCTCCATGCACACTTGTCAGTGATTGCGCATATCTTTGACACTCCTTACTTCACACTAAGCCTCCTAGGCATTTCACATTGCCTGAACAAGTCCATGTGTTCGAAGTTTTTTGCGTTCCTGCGCAAAGATCTCACGGCCAAATAGTGGCCACTCGGAAAGATCCGGAGACCTTCTGGGTAGGCCTCCTGGGTTGGCCTGTCCTGTTTTCTTGTCCTTCCTCCTTCCTTCTGTGTTCCAAGAGTTCCCCGAAGGTGCATTCTGCTCACTACCACTGTTCTGGCCCTGAATGTCCAATTTGTCCTCTAGCTCGGCCACCTGTCTTCCAGCTTCGCCACATTTCTCCAAACCAAGAAGCGCAGGAACATCAACAACCCAAGCACCATAAAAGCAAAGAACAGTTCCTGGATTCAAAAAACCCAACTCCAATCGAAGAATCGATCTCTCGACGCTGCTCCTGGAGCCTGCTCAAGGTGTTTTGTTGAGGTACTTTGCAATCCTCATCAAACGTGCTTGTTCTGTTCTCTTTGACCAACTCGCTGCGAAATGAAACTAGGGCAAAAGCTTGGAGCGACTCTTTGACGATGGCTTCGTACCACTGTCTGCACGTTTGATAGCAGTCTTAATCTAGGTAGTTCCAAAGAGCACACTGCAACCTTCTCCTCGCGCCACAACGGCTTGCCACTCCTATGACTGCATGACGCACCTCATCATTGGCCCAGTCTACCCACCAGGGAAGAGGGGCGGAAGCAAGATGTCCGAGATGTCGTGGAAATATCACCATCACGGAAATCTCGCGCCGGCCTTGCTTTGGAGCAAGGCCTGCGTGGCGTGCGTTCCAAATAGAGTTGTGGGTGCTTGCTTGATCCAAATGAGGCTCTCGCATCAAGCTTTCACAAAAACAAGAGTCGTGGCAGGAGAACTGCTGATAGTTGCGCAGCACGTCCTATCAAGCGCTGAGAAGATTTGAAGATCCACATCTCCAACCTGCAACGCTGTTCTTCCAACGTCCAAGACGTCACCGTATTTGCTCGTATTCTGCTTGACAGCGTGGAATGTACTGAGGCTGATGTTGATCTTCGTATTGCCTTGCATCCGCTGGTCGATTGAGGAGCCATAGGTGATCACTCTTCATCCTACAGCTGAAGCTCTTGTACGGAAACAAAGTCATCTTCAATGGTCTTGATCATGTTCCTGGCATACTGGCCAGGCTTCACCAAAAGACCCTCCAGTCATGATGTACTTCCTCTTCCAGAAAGACAGCTGCTTGCCATACACTGACTCGGACATCATCGTCCTTTTCAGCTTCAAATTCCATTATTTCACACATGGATCAGCCGGCAGATCATGTTCTCACCTCCTCCTCTCTTTCCCGAACCATTGATCCCATCAGCGAAGTCCTGCTTCTCAAGATGTGCTCGAAGATGCGGGCGCAGAGTGGGCGCAGCGCCGGCATCCTGCAGCTTTGGAGCTGTCTCATGAGTTTCATGTGCGTGCGGTGCTTGCAAAACACTCAGGAACAAGATGTCCTGGTTGTCCCAGAGGTGTCACACACTTTGCTTGTGAACCACCTTTGCCTTTGCCCGTCTGGTGAGTTTGTTTTTTGCCCTTGTGTTGTGGACATTTTGCTCTACCAGACACTTGGCCTTTTGATGGACCGTTTCCGCTTACTCTTCTGCAGACATACGTAGAAGCAGAGAGGCCAAAAAACAATTGGGATATATGTTAGCAGAGCCCCAACTAAAGAAAATACACTAACTTAGAAACCACCGCTGCTTGACTTTAGCAGCATCTGCAGTGCCATGTTAGTGGTACAATGAGTGTTTTCTTGAAAAACACTAACCTAGCAGTCATCCAATTTTGGCAGGGTCACAGGTCTATCCTGGGAAGAGACGTGTATATGTCTCAATTGCTTTGGTTCCATGTTAGCTGTCGTTGGCCTGGATGGGTTCAAAGCTGCATGAAGGATGTGCAGTCGCCCCGAGCCAAATGACCTACTGTACTGCACTGTAGAGTATTTTAGCACTACAGTCATATATCAAGCTGAAGGATATCAAACTGATAGCTACAGGAAAGCCAACACACACACAGTACGGCTTCCATGTTAGTGATGGACACTGTGCATTTCCATGGATTTCATTCTGCTTCCATGTTAGGCTTCTTTCCTACATTTTATAGACCTTTCCCTAACATAGCAGCCAGACATATAGCTTTGCAGTGCCATGTATTCAGGCCTTTTTTTAGTCCCCGGCTTCCATGTATAAGAGCGGAAGTGTAATTGCCCACCATCTTAGCAAGCTGCTCCACCTCTAGGTTGCATTGTCACATTGAATAACATTTTCCTTTTTTCCATAGGAATCAGTGTCTAGAAATATGACATCACTAGCATCATGGTGTGATAGATCAGATTGCATGTCACAGAGTTTTCAGCTTGATGTAGCTGTTTGTGAGTATCGAGAAAAGTGTGTATGGTAGCAGAGCTGAGAAGGAGGTAACCCCTCTGGAGCGTTGAGTGAAAAGCCCCTAGGTCACTGGGATCCCGGGCGCGAATCGAGCCATAGATTTGGGGAATTGGAACCCAAACAGCTGGACTGGTGAATATTTGTTGCAAGCAACACTCTGTACCCAGTACATTGTGCCAAAAGGCATTGGTACAAGGAGAAGATGGAGGACATCAGAGAAATCCTTCAGAGTACGCTGGCAACAACATCAGCAGCTGAGGCAGTGAAGAAAGCAGTTGAAGACAAGAAGTCATCAACAACAGATAGGTCAAAATTGATAGCAAAGCCCAACATCTTTGACCATAAGTCACAAGAAGAAGAAGAGATCAAGGCGCTTAGAGAGTGGTCATGGGTCTTTGAGAAGTACTTGAGTGCAGTTGATGAGGGCTACATGAAGGACTTGAATTGAAGGAAACTCATGAGAAGCCAACTGACAAATTTGACATGGACTTGGCAACTGAGGCCGAAAAGACCAGGCGCAGCAAGCTCTATGAAATGTTAGCTTCATTGATGAGAGGAAGTAGAGGACTCCAATAGATTTGGTGCCTGGAGGAGTTTGAATAAAGCCAAAGCTTTGAAACCATCTTCATTGGCAAGAGGCTTAGCACTCTTGAGCCACTACATGGCCAGCATCTTCAATGAACAGTGCATTACAACCTCAACTATTGAAGCTTGAAGAAGTATTTGATGAGACAGTCAATTCAGGGACTACAATTCAGGCAGAGGTGAAATCTGCTATTCTTTTGAGATGTGTAGGTGGGCAACTCAAATCATACTTGAACTTGACAATTGGCGACAATGTTCAATACTCGACTTTGAGGGAACGAGTGTTGCAATGGGATCGCTCCCAGCAGTGGGCTACACTTTTGGTGGCTAGGGCAAAGGTAAAGGCCCAGACCAACTCAGGCAAAGGTGTGGCAACGTGTTACACTTGCGGAAAGCCAGGACATCTTTCTAAAGACTGTTGGAGGAACAATATTCCACAGGTAGCAAGTGATCAAGCCCATTCATTTTCAGGAGGAGCGTCAATGACTACCCATACAGTGTCATACAGTTGGTCAACAACATGCCAGTGTGAGCCAGCAGGGTAGCTCAGCAGAGACCAAGCCAGTGGTCAGGAGAATTGAGAAAAGTGAGCCAATCATCTTTGACTTGAGACAAGGAGATGATGAGCTAGAAGACCAAGGTATTCGAGTAGTTCATGTCTACGTTGGAGATGATGATGATGATGAGCCAGAGTTCCAGCAAGTTGAGGAGATTGACATCTCAGATGATGAACCCATGGTGGGGAGACTTGGGGAAGAGAATGAGGATGTGGCCATTATTATCGACGGTGGAGCTGATATAGCATTATCCCCTTTGAGTATGGCAGATCATGGGCCAAGTAGATTTGCAATTCAGCACAAAGACCAAGCCACAAGATGCACAAGGAAATCGTACCCCCACAGGAGGTGCGAAACGTGTTGAAATTTCCTTGCACGACCTTGAAGTTCTTCTCTAGGAGAATGCGATCTTCAGTTCAGAGGTTGGAAGGTTGATGGAACATGGTTGGGGAATCAACAGCAGGGAGCAATGTTGGAGAATGGTGACTTGAAGATACCGCTCAACCTACAAAATCGCTCTTTGACAGTTCAAGGCCGCATGAGAGTCATTCGAGATGAAGATGGGAACTGCTTGGAGGTGCAAGTACCTGAAGCTTTGGAAAAAGAGAATCAGCTTGGAGATTCAATGAGCATGGACTGGTAGTTGGAAGCTCATTGACTTCAAGATTCGTGGATCCCACAGTCATTCCAGAGGTGGAGGAGTCACCAGACCTGACGAGAACCACTTTGGTGAAACGAGGAGGTAGATTGTTAACGCATGAATTGTGAAAGCGTGATGAAAATGGAGGAACTTGACGAGCAATTCTGGGATGATGATGCAGTTATTCCTTCAATCGCAATCTTCAGCTAACTTGAGAACAGAGAACAGAGAAAGAAAGAAGTACAGCAGGCCATAGAATAGATTATAGAAGGCTAGAGAAAAAGCTCAGGACCTTGAATGTGAGTTACAATTAAGCCCAATGGATGTAGACTAAGTCTTGGTGAACGAAGTAGAGTCGACTCAGGATTCTTCTTTGGCAAATTTGAGGGCAGTGTGTTCATTTCTCGGCATTTCAGGCAGTGGCTCTATGGTGAAGGTCTACACCAAGGTCCTCACAAAGTGAAGATGGAATTGTTGAACGCCAAAAGCTTGGCGAGTGAAGCCA